CCGGCACGATTTCCAAATTTCGGAGGCAATTTTTTGTATAACTCTTGTCACACAATAGGTTTATTTCTAGACTTCTCAAAGGCGTTTGATACATTGACCATACAATTATTCTTCATAAACTGTCTTACTACGGTGTCAGAGGGGAGGCCCTTGAGTGATTTATACCGCTTTCTAACTGACTTCTATCGGAGTCACACCGATGAAAATACCGATTGAATTTTCCTTATGTAAACAAAGGTGAAACTGCAGTTTTTCCCCTGTCGCTTTATAATTGCCGGTGAAATTCACTCGCTGTGGCGACCCCTTGCCGGAAGTGAAGAATTATTGTGTAATTATTAAGCCCGCGCTCCATCTAGCTAGCATGCAGCATGTTCAACCATAAGTCAACCAACACAGCTGGTTACGATAAAGCGCGCGTATACTGCGACCTTTGACCATTTTAATCGCGGTTTTAATTGCCTTTTTCTCCCAAACGATTTCTAACTGGCCGTTTCATCGGTGTCACACCGATAGAATGAGAATTTCTCCTGCTCTTGAGCAGGAGAATTTAATCGCCTATTTCTCTTCTTTTCATCGGCTATTTCATCGCCTTTTTCTCCTCTGTTGCTTTCTAACTGGCCATTTCATAGGATGCATCCGGATGCATCCGATGAAAATCAGTGCAGTTAGAAAAGGGTATAAGAAGCTACCTTTCAGACAGAACTCAATACACCTCTGTAAATAACTTCCAGTCATGAATTAAAAATATTACCTGTGGGTGCCCCAAGGCTCTCTTCTTGACCCTCTTCTTTTCATACTATATGATTTCAAACGATCATCTAATATTTTATCTTTCATATTATTTGTTGATGCCTCTAATATTTTTCTCTCATGTCATGACCCACAAACTCTCCTCAATACAATTAACTTGGAATTAGTTTTGGTTCAAAGTTGGATACAAGCCAACAAACTATCACTGAATATTAAAAAGACAAATTATATGATATTAAGCAACACTATTGATCATCTTCACAGGCCCGTTGCAAAAAACTTACCATTGATGGTAACTCTGCCATCAATGGTAAGGCGAGGCGTCAAAAATAAATATACCAGCCAGCGGCAGCTAACTGCACTTGTGCGTCCTGGCTGCATTTTTTAAATTAGCTCAGCCGGCTACCGCTGGCGGTAGGACCCTCAATTAACTCATGATGTCATCATAATGGTCTCTGAACAAAAGCATGCGCCGGCTGCCGCCTTTCGAATGGAAACCGAGCCTCAGATCCCAGCCTGGCGCAAGCCGGCTGGGCTAATAAGTGAAAAATAATTGCCCCAGCCAGGCTTCGGCCGTAATTGCAGCCTCGATGCGCCAATACGTGAGGCGGCAGCCTGCTGGTATCGATATTTTTGACGCCTCGCCTAACTATCGTGGTAACAGGGCTCAACAGCCAATCGAAATCAAGGTTTCCATGGTAGTTACCATTGAAGGCAAATTTACCATCAATGGTAAGTTTGGGGCAACGGGGCCCAGGTCCTATTCTAATAAATGGTATAGAACTAGAATGTGTTCAAAGTACAAAATCCCTTGGAACTTATGTTGACCACAAATTAATTATTTATGTTAATTATTATCAAGAAACATTGGTATCATAAATCATGTTAAAAATACATTTCCTTTACCGTTTTATCATCACTGTATACAACCCTTATTTTGCCTTACCTAAGTTATGGGATTTTAGCATGGGGAAATCCTTGTAAGACTTTAATTGATCGAATATTAATTTCACAGAAGCGTGCATTAAGAATAATCCATAATGTCTACTTTCGTTCCCACACTAACCACTTATTTTAACAAGACAACATTCTTAAAATTAATGATTCATATTCTTGGTCCCTCGGTATCTTTATGTTCCAACTAATTAAAAACGAGTTACCTCTCCCGATTTCCTCAATTTAAAAAAAATAAGATACATTCATACCTCACTAGACAGTCTCACAACTTCCACACTCCTCGAATGAGAACAGCGTTCGCACAAAAAAACAATTATTTACACCGGTCCAGTATTTTGGAATATCATAGATCCATCTCTTAAACAAAGTACCAGTCTATGATACACATTTTCAAAAAGCTGAAAATTAAATTTTTAAACACATACATGTATGCATAAATGTATGTGCCGTCGCCAGTCAGCTGCATTGTTGATATTGCTGATACGTTGCTATACATGAATCTTGGTTTGTTTGGTTCTCGACTCAATCCCTAATTTCTCCCTCATTCTACTGATCTAACCTCCTTTTTCTAGAGCTTTTGCAACCATTCATTTACCTTCTTTTTTTTAAATCTTCTTTCTTTTTGCCTTTTACTATTTTCCTCCATTTTTTTCCCTCTCTTTTATTATTATTTTTTTCCTAAAAAATGAATAGTTTCTTTGCTACATATTTGTTTAATTTTATTGATTTTTTAAGTACACTTTGTTCAAGATACATTGTAAAACAGCATCTGAGGAACTCTTTTCTTGTGCTATTTCTATATTTTTGTCGTTTCATTGTATATTTTTTTTGTAATATACTTATTCATTGTACAGTATTATATTTTGCATGAGAAATAAAAATCATTTGAATCAATTACCAAGATAAAGCTTCCACTAGTACCAGTGGGGAGGTTAATCTTGAGTTTGCTAAGGTTGAGCTAGAGGAGAGAAGAGATAGAATAAAGGCTGCTTAGCATGAGAGAGAAATGGAACGAAAGAGGTTGGAATTCGAAATGACTTCTCATGGCAGTCAGTCTGGTGAGAGAGACAGGAGGTCAATGAAAGCTGGGTTCTCTGCTAGGGTTAGGCCTGTTCCTAGATATGATGAAAATGAGTTAGATTCATTCTTTCTTATGTTTGAGAGGTTTGCCAAGAGGATGGAGTGGCAGGAATATGAATGGGCATTGCTCATCCAACAAGTGATTTCTTGTAAAGCTCAGTCGGTTGTGTCTGCACTGAGTTATGAGCCCGGCCCCCCCACTCAGGTTTCGAAATGACCGCATGCGTGTTGCCAAAATGTCCTTTTTGTAACAAAAGAAAAAGGTCGACCCATATTGACTTTACACACCGGACTTTTGCTGAAAAGGGGGGTGCTTAAAAAGGCTCGTATACAAAAGAAAAAGGTTGAGCCGTATTGACTTTACACACCGGACTTTTGCTGAAAAGGGGGGGTCGGTTGGAACACGCATATGCGTACCCTAAATAACACTGAGTGGGGGGGGGGCCGGGGTTATGAGCAGGCATTTTAGTATTGGACAATAAAGGATGGTATTCTTCATTCATTTGAGTTGATTCCAGAAGCCTACCGTCAGAGATTTTGTAATCTCAGGAGATAAACTGGAGAGACTTGTGTAGAGTTGCTCGTAGAAAAGAAGTTGCCTTCGATCAGTGGATCAGATCTTTGAAAATAGAAGCCACATATGATTCTCTTAGAGAGATTATGCTCATTGATGAGCTTAAAAGATGTATGTCTCAAGAGCCCAGGACCAAAATCCAATTGAAACCAGTTGAAATCTCCAACTGGTTTCAATTGGTTTCAACTGGTTTCAATTGGTTTCAATTGGAATACAAAATTTCCAGTTGAAACCAATTGCCGAACTGGAAAAAATTGTTATGGGGTGTCGTTTCCAGTTCAAACCAATAAGTACAACTGGAACCAGTACGATAATTTTTCCAGTTACTCAATTGGTTCCAGTTAGAATTCATTTCCAGTTAGAAGTCATTTCCAGTTACCCAACTGGTTCCAGTTAGAATTCATTTCCAGTTACCCAATTGGTTCCAGTTAGAAGTCATTTCCAGTTACCCAACTGGTTCCAGTTGGAAGTTCAACTGGAACCAGTAAGATAATTCTCCAGTTACCCAACTGGTTCCAATAGGAAAATATTTCCAGTTACCCAACTGGATCCAATTGAAACCAGTTAATTTGCATATTATCTTGTGTGCAGATTAATGTTTTATGTAATTTATTTTTATTTAAAACATATTTATTAATTAATTTTCATTTGCAAGTAATGCATTTGTTTTAGATACATTATAAAGATTAATTAGCAATGATAAGCATGTTCATAAATAACATATTTTTTTAAATACAACAGATTAAAAGTTGATTAGTAAAACACTAACCATGGACAAAATACATCAAATACAAACATATAGGCCTATTTCCTTGCTAAGTATATTATATGAAATGGTCTGCATATTATAATGCCCTTTACATTGTACTTAATTTAGACATATAACAATGCTTCTGTGTTGACATGAGCGATAATTACCGGTAGTGCAAGAGCTAATTAACTTATAACTAATTAAGTTTATGCCAACTGTAAGTTTCAATTGGATCCAGTTGAAACCAATTGAAACCAGTTGAAGCCAACTGGTTTCAATAGGGAAATTGGAACAACTGGTTCCATTTGAAACCAGTTGATTTCAACTCATTAAAGCACCTATCGGTCTGTCTTTGATATTAGAAAGATGATGTTCATGCTAACTTTTTATACTTTTGTGTGTGGTTAATTTCTCGCCTTTAGATCTAACTGCTGATAGGAACTTTCTTTTATGTGGGAGATATGTTATGAATATGTTATGAATATGCAAATTATATGATTCAGAATATGATAATTCCAAGAGATGATTGAGATATAGCAATAAAGCACAAATGAAAGGTAACAAATCGTCTTGATTTTGTGTTGTATTAATTTAATTCTGATGTTGTAGGGGATAATCTAAACTAACTGCCCCGACCCAACAACTGATACTTTGACCTGCCCAGTGAAATCAGGGAGCAAAAAAGTCTTGAAATTTTATTGCTTATCTTGAAATTATAAGTATTGGTTTTTTAAGGGGGCTCCCTATTTGTTGTCTGGTGTTTATAAGAGTGCAACCATGCAGAGAAGCAGAGAAGGCAACCAAAGTGTTAATCAAGGTTCCACTTTTACTCTTTACGCTTAATATCCAGAAGAAGGTACATGTAATAAGGAGCACACCAAATCATACCTGGGGTAGTCTGCACTGGAGTCTTCTTGTCGTCATGCAAGTCCTGCTGGTTAGGTAGATATTTACCTGCAAGAGATTCACAATGTATTCTTTTATTTCTTTTACCATAGCATAGGCATGCAGAAACACTTTAGAAATAAGAACTGGATTGTATTAAGGTTCAATAATAAAAATGAAGGAGAGAAGCAATGACTCAAATGATGATGATAATCACTTTAAAAGAAAAGGTAGTTTTAATTGATTTCATTTATCGTTGCTTGAATTTACCTTATTTAAGCCCAGTGATACTTAAAGCATCGACAAAATATACAGGCAAACACGTGACTTCCGTGACGTGACATTGTAGTTTTAATTGGAGTAGAAGTGGTAGAATAGTTATGGTAGTAGTAGTATTAATAGTAGTACAGTAGTAGAAGAATTAGAAGTAGTAGTTCTAGTAGTAGTAGTAGTAGTACCAAATTGAGATTCAAACTGTTATTGCTCGTTATAAATAAATGAGGTGTCATATGAAAGAGCAGGTTTTTCTCTGTATTCCCCAAAAAGGCTCAACTCGGAACTCTAAAAAATTATTGAACAAAACAGCGATTTAAACATCGTTTTCATCGTATCTCCAAGATTTACCACTTTTTTTTTAATTGAGCAGCAGAGGCTTAAGTTGGGCCAGCTGTAAGGAATAATCCATATGCTTATTTTTTTTCTCTAGCCCCAAGGGATCACAAGCGATTACAGTTTGAAAATCCCTTTTCCCCACTTCTTGAATCAGCTAAGTAGGGAAGCGTGACTCTGCTCAGCCCAAATTTATGGTGACAGCGCGTATAATCTGCACATGCATATGTATTTCATGCTCGGTAGCTCACATGACTTTCAGCGGCGCGAAGCAAATTTTGTGCGTACTACCCGTGTTGCAAGCCTTTGTACACATAAGGCGGTGTCACACAGAAAAATCCCGACCCATCTTGAATAAACCAGATTTTAGAAATCTATTTTTTTTCATTTACGTCGGTGACAGACTGGTGACAGACAGGCTACGAATAATCCGGATAACTAAAATCCGGATTTTTGATGGGCCATTGCGCATGTGCCGTTTAGGTAGATAAGGCCTAAAATAAAAACTTGTTGCATTGCCCTTTGCGACCGACCCAAAAATCTGAAAATCTACGGTCGGCATTTTATTTTTTTTATTTTTTTTAACCGTTTTTTTTAATTTTTTTTTTTAATTAATGAATAAAAAAATATGTATTTTGTTTGTTTAAATAGGATATAAATGCATAAAATCAAATTATTCCAAAATTCTCACTCTTGCAAACAATGGATGATTATGAGGTGAAAAAGATATCAATGGAATGATGACGTTGAAACACATGTATTAAAGCATTAAAACTGAGAAATATCAGCCAAAAGAGGACGGAAAAAAAAGAAAAAAAATCAAATCAGAAAAATATCGGCCCAAAGAGGACGACAAATTAAAAGTTTAAAAAAAAAAAAAAAACTTTTCCGACCGACCGACCCATGTTTTGGCACCCAAAGGGCAATGCAACAAGTTTTTATTTTAGGCCTAAGCATTGTGACATCACACGTTCAATCATTAAATGCGCGCTATTATAATTGTGCGAAGGTTATGATAGCGCGTTAAAAACCCTATGCCAGCCAATCACGTTAAACTTACACTGACCTTTAAAGGGATTATTTCAACATTCGTGTCAGACAGAAAAAACCCTTAAAAAAACCCTTCAAAAATCCTTTCAAGAGAGAATTATCTTGCTTCATATGAGGATTTTTGAAGGGATTTTTGAAGGGATAATTGGTGACAGACAGCCAATTAAGAGGATAACTAAAATCTGGATAACTAAAGTCTGGATTTTTGGCCTCTGTGTGACACCGCCTATAGTACTGCATGTGTAATTAGAGAGAGAGAGAGAGATAGAGAGAGGGGAGAGAAAGTTGGAGAGAAAGAAAGAGGAATGAATAGAGAGAGAGAGAGATAGCTAGGGAGAGAGAGAGGGTGAGAGGGGTGAGAGAGAGAGAGAGTTACTAAACACGTGAAAGGGTTACGACAAAGAGAGAGGGGAGGGATCGATACAGAGAAAGAGAGATCAAGAAGGGATACAGGAGAGAGAGAGAGAAAAGGGATACAGAATAGAGGGCTTACATATATGCTAAACACTCAGGTCGCGCTGCGCTGGAAAACACTCGGGTAACGGCTTGCATAACGTCTTCAAATCGGCCCTACACGCTGGTAAAATCTTATTTTAAATTAGCGACTGTTTTTAAACATTTTTCAATGGGGGTGCGTGGGGAAATCTACTTTAAAAAGAAGTTGGAAGTTGCGATTGTTTTTTTTTAATGATAGAAAAATAAGAAGACAAGAATTAAGGCTGACATTAGGCAAGATAAAATACTAGGTGGATATTAAAAAGTGGATTTTAGAGAAAGTGTAATAGGGCCTACTACAAGGGAATATGATAGGCCTATTAATAGGATGGAAACAAGGAAGAATGGAAAGAGTGAGAAGATGAATTGTGGGAAATCAAGAACAAATTATAAAAGAAAAGGGAAAAGAGAGAACTGATACAGAAACATATTATATTATTGGCCTTAATGGAAAATCGTGGTAGAATGCACCAGAAGAATTAACAATTAACATAAAGATGGTTAGATGAATTGCAGAAAATAAAGAATTACATTGTAGGCCTATAGAAGAAAAAAGGAATGAAGGGAGGAATTGAAGGGAGAGAAAGAATTAAAGATGTAGAAGAACGATTTGAAGAAATGGCAAAAGAAAACATAAGATGATAGGGGAAACCAATAAAGAATAACGTAATGATTACATGTACATGATGGAATTTTTCAAGAAAAATGAAGAGGGAATAAAAGGACAAAAATTAATTTAAAAAACTGAGAAACTACGACAGAGGGCAATAATACGATTTAGAAGTTATAACACAAGGAGTTCAAGAAATGGATGGTGGAAGGATCAAAGATATAGATATACATGTACATAAATAAAGGACGATAGAAGAGCTGAAAAGGGGGAATGCGAGGGATGTAACGAGAGGATTAAAGAAAGATTAAAATGATAAAAGATACATAGACCCTTCTATTGTCGATAATTTCAAATCTCTTCTTCAATAAATTTTCCCCCTTATAAAGCCGATTTGAAGACACCATTGAAAAAAAATTGGCCCAGCTAGCCTTGACCTGAGTGTTTTCTTTTATCATTTTCTCTTTCTGACTTTCCCTACGTAATTCTTTGTTTTTTTTTCTATCATCTTTTATGTTATTCTTTGTTTTTTCTTCTAATATAATATTTAATTTTTATATAGCGCTTAATACAAATGTCTCTAAGCGCTTTACAAATATACTATTACCCCGGTCATTGGATTCAGTGCTTGCCCGCACACACTGTGTGCACAATCTCCACTCCCTGGGGAGCATTCCAGCCGGGCGTTACTTGACGCTCACAAGCTGTTTGACCAACAATGACGGTCGCATCCTACCGGGTACCCATTTAACACCTGGGTGGAGAGTAGCAAGTGCAGGTTAATATCTTGCCAAAGGATATTAGTGCCGTGTCGGGATTCGAGCCCTCGACCTTCGCATCTCCAGTCAAGCGCCTTAAACCACTCGACCACGACACTCCCACATCATCTAGCTCTTATGATATTCTTTTTTTTTTCTTCTATCATCTCTTATGTTATTCTTTGTTTTTTCTTCTATCATCTCTTATGTTATTCTTTGTTTTTTCTTCTATCATCTCTTATGTTATTCTTTGTTTTTTCTTCTATCATCTCTTATGTCATTCTTTGTTTTTTCTTCTATCATCTCTTATGTTATTCTTTGTTTTTTCTTCTATCATCTTTTATGTTATTCTTTGTTTTTTCTTCTATCATCTCTTATGTTATTCTTTGTTTTTTCTTCTATCATCTTTTATGTTATTCTTTGTTTTTTCTTCTATCATCTCTTATGTTATTCTTTGTTTTTTCTTCTATCATCTCTTATGTCATTCTTTGTTTTTTCTTCTATCATCTCTTATGTTATTCTTTTTTTTTTCTTCTATCATCTCTTATGTTATTCTTTTTTTTTCTTCTATCATCTCTTATGTCATTCTTTGTTTTTTCTTCTATCATCTCTTATGTTATTCTTTGTTTTTATCATTCTATCATTTTTCTACTTATCATTCCTGTTGCTATTCTTTGTTTTTCCTTCGATCACGTTCTCTTATGTTATTCTTTTTGTCATAAATCTATTACTTTATCTTTCGGTATTTCCTTATGCCATTCTTCATTTCTTTCTTCTATCACCTTTCCTTGCGCTATCCTTTGTTTCTTTCTTCTATCACCTTTTCTTATGTTATTCTTCGTTTTTAATTTTCTTTCATTTTTCATCTTATCATTCCTTATGTTACTCATTGTTTTGTTTTTTCTATCACCTTCTCTTATGTCATTCGTTGTTTTTCCTTCTTTTACCTTGTCTTATGTTAGTCTTTGTTTTTAGTATTCTATCACTTTCGCTTTCTGTCTTTCTTTATGTTATTTTCCTTCATCACCTTTTATGTTATTCTTCATTTTTATCTTTCTATCATTTTTCTTCTGATCGTTCTTCATTTTATTCGCTGTTTTTCCTTTCATCATCTCTTTTATGCTTTTCTTTGTTTTTTCCTTCTATCACCTTCTCTTAAGTTATTCTTTGTTTTTTCCTTCAATAACCTTCTCTAATGTTATTCTTTCTGTCATCATTATATTACTTTTCCTTAGGCTATTCTTTGTTTAATTTTCTATATTCTTCTTCATATCCCTCATTATGTTCTTTGTTTTCCTTCTTGCATCTTCTCTTCTCTCTTTCCATTATCTATTCTTACTTATGTTATTCTTTGTCTCTGTCATTCTGTCAACTTTTCTTCTCATAATTCCTTATGTCTAATCGTTGTTTTTCCTTCTAGCACCTTCTCTTATGTTATTCTTTGTGTTATCATTCTATCAATATCTCTTTCTTTCCTTATGTTATTCTTTGTTTCTTCCTTCTACCACCTTTTCTTATGTTATCCTTTGAATTAATCATTCTATCACGTTATATCACTATCACGAGGAAGGTACCAGGTAATATGATTTAGTGTCCAAACATTTTAGTATTACACTTTGACAATAGTGTTATGTCAGTGTTATGCTGCGAATGCGCGTCCTTATTTCGATTTATATAGTTTATGAAGCCATTACTCTTTTTATTCAATGGAAATTACCATCTATAGTAGTTCACCATTATTTTGTCAGTCAATTAGATTTTGGTTTCAAGTAATATATGTTTAAAAAAAGTTTTATGCAACAGGGCCTTGGTGAGTTGTAAACTATACGCACACTGCCTACAACGGTTTATCATTGAAAATCACTTGGGAAGACGTTCACTATGAAAAATTGTGAGCAACTAGCTAAATAAACGGCCTGATTCAAAGCATGAAACTTTTTTCTCATAATAATATTGGCAGTTTTATAGGACCTATATATATATGTACATGTATTTCTATGAACTTGGTGTAATTCAAACAAAATTTTACCTTCAGATAGTCTATCACCTAAATCAACAAGTCGTAGGTCATGGAGTTTGCTCGCTAGTATGGATCGAGTTTGAGTGCTGTCTGCTTGATTGTTATTCCATTTGATGAGGAGCTCCACCAGGGCGTCATTAACGTTGTTGAGATGTTTGACGAGGTGGGATTGAATTACTGCATAGGAATACCCCAGAGCGTTGCACAGTTTTGAGTACTTGCCCGGAACTACGTCTTCAGCTAGTGATATCAGCTCGATTTCCTGCAAAGGCTCCATAATGCTGTGGAAAATCATGATATATAGAATATACATTATGTGATATCAACTCCATTTCCTATAAAGTCTCCATAATCATTATACAGGCAATACATTGTTTTATTTCTAAAGCAATGATTAAGGCCTATGTCACTTGATCCGAGCATTGGTAAAGAAAGGTGCTCTTATTATTCAAATTACCGCAGAAAATCTTGTCACATTTTTGAAGAAAAAAATGTGCAAAGAGAATAAAAAAAATATAACCAATCGATTACAATCATGGCTGCCATGCTGATGTTTGGTGATGGTGAGGAGAGGCAGAGAAGAATCCCTAAAGTATTTCGCGATAGAACCCAGCCCCTGGAATTCAGAGATAGAGATTTAGAAAGAAAATACTGATTCACTAGAGTAGGCTGCATGACATTAATTGACTTATTAAGTCCAAAACTTAGCCACAAGACTCAAAGGAGCAACTCCCTACCGGGACAGCTACAAATATTCGTAGATCTACATGTAGCTCTTAATTATTTTGCCACTGGTGCAGTTTTGGACACACCGCAACCACACATGGTGTGGACCGCAACATTGCATCCTGCACCATTCACCGTGTAGTGGAAGTCCTATGTGGAATGAAAGAAACGGTGAGCAAAATACAGACTTTCTTTAACTTTCCTTCAGTAACAGCGTCCTTTTTTTAAAGATCATTTGAACCCACTCCAGCATAAACATAGAGAGTCAATACTGCGTATGGACCTTTAGCGCTGTACCATGTGCTAATAGGCAGCAATTTCACATGCGAATAGTCAATAGACTTATAACACACAAATGCACACAATCATGCCGATAAAACTGTAAGCAAGTTTGACAGTGACTCCGGGAAGCTCAGACGCTGATGCCGAAGGCGTCGGAGCTTCGGGTGGTGCATCAAAAAACTTTCTAACAGCGGGTTGGGCAACATTATCTCAAAAATGGCAAAGGAAGTAATTACAATTTTGACTTACTAGGTTGCTCGACTCCTCTGGGCATCTATATCCGGCAACTTGAAATTATAATTTGAAGAAGCCTTCGATGGGAAAAAGGGGGTGATTCTTCGTCCTACCCTGACGATTCTTCCATGTTGTATCGTGGATTCAACGGGCGAAGAAGAAGTATGCACTACCGCGCATGCATACTTTCTCTTCGCCATGTCAAGACTTCTTCAAATTATAATTTCAAGTTGTCGGATAGATTCCCAGAAGAGTCGAGCAACCTTACCTAGAGTGTAGGGTGTCTGATCGTGCACCCGATGTTGTGTGCTAAAATCCTTCCCATAGAGATTGCAAGCATCCCTACCCATAGGAAAGTGAAAAGTATGCCGCAGACCTGCCGCAGACCTGCCGCAGATCTGCCGCAGACCTGCCGCAGACTTTTAGTCTGCGGCAAAGAGTATGCCAAAGTATGCGGCAGAAAGAAACTTTGCTGCAGACTTGCCGCATACCAGTATGCCACAGGAACAGTCTGCGGCAGATCTGTGGCAGGATGAAATTTTGCTGCAGACTTGCCGCATACTAGTATGCCACAGGAACAGTCTGCGGCAGATCTGCGGCAGGATGAAACTTTGCTCCAGACTTGCCGCGTACTAGTATGCCACAGGAACAGTCTGCGGCAGATCTGCGGCAGGATGAAATTTTGCTGCAGACTTGCTGCATACTAGTATGCCACAGGAACAGTCTGCGGCAGATCTGCGGCAGGATGAAATTTTGCTGCAGACTTGCCGCATACTAGTATGCCACAGGAACAGTCTGCGGCAGATCTGCGGCAGGATGAAACTTTGCTCCAGACTTGCCGCATACTAGTATGCCACAGGAACAGTCTGCGGCAGATCTGCGGCAGGGCGAAACTTTGCTCCAGACTTGCCGCATACCAGTACGCCACAGGAACAGTCTGCGGCAGGTCTGCCACAGGAAATCCCATTAAAGTCTAATAGGGCCAATTGAAACCAATCATCTCATGCATATTCATTATTACTTTACACATGTGACAGAAAAATACATTTATCATGATTTGTTAAGCAAATTAAGACAATGCACATCATTTTTGTGATTTCTATTTTCCTTTTGCCATTATTAACCAATAGATTATTTTGTCTGATCATGATGTTACAATTACATTCACGTTTAAGCAATAGATATATTGATTACTAACCAAGAAACTATGATTACTAACCAAGAAACAATATACATATTTAGTATAGATATGTGTACGAGCCTGTGTCACTTTAAATGTTACTCTTGAATACACTTCAAATGATCAATGTGATGAAGTTAATACAATTGAGAATAGAATATACCTAATTGGTAATATCGATATACATATTGGTATTACCTAATTGGTAATATCGATTATGAAGTATCAATCAGTTTATGGCACTGGTTCTTCTACATGCATACTTTATTGCCACGTACTGGATATGAAAGAGTATGCGGCAGGTCTGCAGCAGGTCTATATGAGATATGAATATTCATGACGAAGAGTCTGCGGCAGGTCTGCAGCAAGTCTGCGGCAGACCTGCCGCAGACTCTTCATCATACTGAAAGGGTATGCGGCAGGTCTGCAGCAAGTCTGCGGCAAGTCTGCGGCAAAACTAATTTGCATGTGAAAAAGATGACTGTCTGCGGCAGGTCTGCTGCAGATCTGCGGCAAGTCTGCCGCAGGAGTATGCGGCAGGCTCATTTCTTTCCTATGGGTATGCAGTCTACGTGCATTGCGCGACCATGAAAATTGGTCAATGATTTTATGAAAAAATTTAAATTCATATACCTTTGGGGCTTGTGATCCTGAAGGTGAAACTCAAGAAATGAGGTGTCATATATGAAAGAGCAGTTTTTTTCTACATTCCCCAAAGGAGCACACCCCCGAAATTCTAAAAATATCTTGGTCAAAACAGCGATTGAAATGTTGTTTGCATCCTAGCTCCAAAATTTGCCACTTTCCTAAGCCACGCCCCCGCGGCCTAAGTAGGGCTAGACGTAAGGATAATATCCAGGTGCTTTTTTTTCGCTAGCCCCAAGGGATCATTCGCCGTAACAGTTTGAAAGTACCCTTCCCACATTTTTTGAATCAGCTAATTAGGGAGGCATGAGCTCTGCTCATGCAGTCCAAACCATGGTTATATCGCGCAACATCTGCGCGTACGAACGAAACCTGAAAGTCAATTACACATTATAATCAATGGCAATGACAATGTCAATTTATTCTCATGTCATTGGATTCCTGACTTTTGCGAGCAATATCGCCATTATTTCCGCTTGGGAGTTGGTTTTTGTTGATTTTTGAGTATAGCTGAGACTATATGCTATCTAAAAATCCCCTCATTTTTTCAATCAGATGTCAGTCAGGATCACGCTCGATCACCATCATCATCAATATCAGCATGATGATGATCATCATCATGGTCTGATGATCATGATCATCAACATCATGATCATCTTCATCAGCTTAGAGACATTTGTATTAAGCCGCTTTAATAAGCGCTAGGGCCTATATAAAAATTAAAAATTATTATTATCATGATCAAGATCATCAATATCATCATCTTAACATTATCATCATCTAACATTATCATTATCATCATCATCATCATCATCATCATCGTCATCGTCAAGAAGACCACCTAAAATTAAATCGTCCTCATGTCATGACGAATTTAATTTCTAGTATATTTGTATTATTATTTACACCGCACATCACTAAACAATGTGTAGAGTCTATATCTGCGTACTATTAACTGTGCGCATCAACCCACAGTGCGTTAATCTTCATTTCATGATGAAGTCTGCACTTTTTAGGGAGAAGAAGAACTAGTATCCGCGTACGAGTTCGGGAGGGAGTGCTCCCCCGAAACTAAGGGGCTAAGCTTTACCAGTTTAGGACCGTACGGAGGCATCACTCCAGCAAAGCATAGGCTTTTAACTTGAAGTTGCTTTAAGCTATTGTTAGTTATCGAGCCAAAACAAGAGTTGAAGTAGATTCTAGATTAGTAATAGTAGCGCTGGAGTTGCTTTGAAGAAAAAAAGTCATGATTACCTGTCACTTTCTTCACTTAATTAAGTTCTTCATAGGGTCTAGACATAGTCAATTATCAACCGGGCAAATAGATGATCGGTAACAACTGCATAAAACTTATATTGTGTACATCGTACCGCGGTATCGCGACGTACGGTTATGGCGCGCCATTTGACCAATAACTCAAATATATAACACTGTTTATCGCCGAAAAACATTGTTTATCGAAAGAAACTATGTTTATCGAGTGATAAACACTGTTTATCTGAATTATTGGTCAAACGGCGTGGCGATAAACTCTGCGTATTGATATAAACACTGTTGATAGAAAAGCAGAGTTATTTGTATTTCGCCAGGATCGAGTGGGCGCTTTTCCAAGCACCCATTAGATTCGATCATCCACATATAGGTTTTGCATTGGATGCATTATTATTTGTGCCATTTGGAGGGTCAATGTCAATGACTTACACAATACGCCAATTACTGTTTGTTGATTGGCCATCAACAACATTTTTTTACAATAATGATAACGATAATTATTATAATGATGATAGCTGATACTGCAACAATACTAACAACAGAATAATAACCCCCTTCTCAAATTCCGAATAGCGATGTTACTATTTCGTCACCAACTTATCATTTTATCATATGCCCATGATTATTGCTACAGCAGATTGTAATGCGGCTTCACATATAGAACAAGTTGTTCTTATAATTAGTTGAGTTCTATAAAATCCAGCCTCACGAAGACTCTTATTGTAGATCATAATTAGTGTACCGTACACTTTACATGGTGGCAGCTAGCGGTGGGATTCGAACCCATCGAAACACTTTTACTGCATAAAAATTTGCTCTGCTTACTCTCTTAATACATTTCCTCCTTCTTCCTCATTAGAAAGATGATCAAATCTATCTCGCTGCTGCCAGATCTAAAAAAAAATGCAAGGTCGGACACCAATTACTTAATCATAAGACTCCACCAGCACCATCACACCTCAGTCACACATCATTATGATTACAGAGTGCCATCATAATCGCCACCGTCATCACAAAATTTCACAAAATAAATAAGCTATATGTACGTATTACAAAAAAGAGCTCTGCGTGCAATAACCAACTTTTATCCCCAGAACACCAAGTGATCCATTGTAAATTGCAAACGGCATTATTTATGTACAAATATTTCAACAACTTGTTGCCTGAGGTTTTTAACAATATGTTCATGTTAAACTCTGAAATGCATCAGTACAATACCAGATATTGCAATAGTAAGACCACATGTGCAATTGTTAAAGTATGAGTCGTTTAGACAGACGGTCCGACACTTGGGACCTCAACTGGAATTCATTACCTGATGACATTAAAAAAAACAGCCCATCGCTTGCCTCTTTCAAAGGCAAATATAAACAATGCCTTTTAAAATGCTAAAATTTGTTGATTTTTTTAAATAAATTACTACACAACCTGAATTATTCATGCTCAAATATTCTTTGTGTATACTTTTCCTTTACACAGACCGCCTGTTTCCCTTTTGTTGTGTATACTTAATTATGTTCTGTACCTACCTATACAATATTAATTTATTCCTGGAGACCAGCCCTTGACAGGTTTAGGTGCTTTAAATTCTTTTAATATTGTTATGCTATTTTCTTGTTTTGTTTTGTTGTGTTAATCAGATATTGTATGTTTTTATGAGAAGTGGAAATAAATTAAATGAAATAAGAAAATGAAAAGAAACGAATTAAGCAGCAGTACTAAGTCTTTATATCAACATTTATGATCTCATTTATCAACATATTTTTTCGATAATGATCTTTTTAAATGCAACATAACATATATTACATCGAGACAAGAAAAATAACACATGAGTTGGGGGGGGGGGGGGTGGCTGCTTCTCTTTAATAAACTTAGAAATTTGAAAATTTTAAAATGAAATCCATATGATTAATTCAATTATCAACATCCTATAGAAAGCACAGGTATTTACTGAGTTTTAAGAGTACTTTTTTAACATGACATTATTGTTGTTATTATTACTATTACTTTGTACCATTATTATTGTTGTTTATCAGATTATTATCATTATAGTTATCGTTATTAGTACTGTAAAACAATTTGTTGATTGCGAATCAACAAACAGTAATTGGCGTCTTTTGAAAGGCATTGCTCATAACATTGGCCGTCCAAAATCGTTCAAATAATAATGCATCCCATGCAAACCTATAAAATGTCAAAGGTAACAATTTAGCTGCCCCTCTAGTCCTCCTCCGGACGACATATTTATGTATGATCGAATCTCTTTGAGTGCAACTTGGAAAAGCGCCCACTCCCGACGAAATACAAATAACTCTGCTTTTCGACAAACAGTGTTTATCGATAAACAGAGAGGTAGTCGCCTCGTTGTTTGAACAATAGTTGTTTATAGTGTTTATCTGAGTCAAATGGCGCGCCAAATACGGTACCGGGCCTAGAAAGCTAGCTATACATTCAGGACAATTTCGATGTGCCAATTTGATGCAAATTAATTAATTACCAACAAAGCTTGTTTCAAGAAATATCAGTATGAATGTAGTTAATTAAAACAACTTCCTTTCTAAGTGCTGTATAAAAGAAAACTGGAAAGGAACTTTAATGAAAACAACCCACGAGCTGCATGGCAGCAAATGCAAACAATGACCGGTTATAAGGACACTAAATAGGAGAGTAATGGATTGTAAACAGGGTTTTGTTGATAGTCTTAGTGAATTCTATGCCCGATTCGATGTTCATGACTTTTCTACAGAGAATGATGTAATAATAGATAGGCTGTCAAATATTGCAATTGATTCAAATGAGGTAATTGTCTTTAGTGAACATGAAGTTCGAAATGTATTTGCGAAGACAAATGTAAACAAAGCATCTGGTCCAGACCACATTTCTAATAAGGTTTTGAACATGTGTAGTCAACAACTTGCCTATGTTTTTACACGTATTTACCAATTGATCATGAATGCTGTAGGATCCCTCGTCTTTGGAAATCCTCGATTATTATTCCAGTTCCTAAGATGAAAAACCCTAGTGAACTGAATCAGTAGCCCTTACATGCAATCCTATGAAATGTTTTGAACGGTTATTGTTAAAACACCTTAGAAACCATCAGGTTAATATTTTCGACAAGACTCAATTTGCATATCAGAACAATAGAGGTGTACAAGACGCAGTACTTGTTTTTTTACAGGGTCTGTATCAACATTTGGATACTCCTAGGTCTTACGTTAGGTCTGTGTTCATAGATTTCTCAAGTGCCTTTAATACGATTGTTCCTTACATACTGATAGATAAGCTACTTAATATGAATGTCAAACCATGTCTAGTTAGGATTATCCATAATTTCCTTGTAGACAGACCACAATGGGTTAAGTGTAATAATCTGAACTCTATCATCAAATTGTCTGAATCTAGGTGCTCCTCAAGGCTGTGTAATTTCACCAATTCTCTTCTCGCTCTATTATTAGTGACTATACCATCACCAATAATAATTGTTCAATAATTAAGTACGCAGACGACACTGTGATAACTGGTTTCCTTCAAGGAGATTCCAGCCCATATGTTAGAGAAGTTGATCAATAATTGTAAACTGGTGCGATCGGCACCATCTAGTTCTTAACGTAAAAAAGACCAAGGAAATGGTATTTGACTTTCGTCGTTCCTCTCAGCCTCTTGACTCGTTGGTTATCCATGATCAAAGCATTGAGCGAGTTTCTGAATATAAGTACTTGGGAACAACTGTTGATAATAAACTTAACTGGAATAGGAACACCCAAATCGTAGCAGGCAAGGCGAGTCAAAGGTTATACTTTCTAAGGAAACTAAAGGAATTTCATGTGGATAATAGGATTCTAGTTCTCTTCTACCAATCTCTTATACAGAGTATCCTGACATTCAATTTTTTGTGCACTTTTGGTAATCTGTCAAAACAAAATCGGAGAAAGTTAGATAGACCCAGGAAAATTGCCCAGCGGTTAATTTATTCAGATCTTCCCCCTATCAGTACTGTGTATGAAAAACGTATGTTACTTAAAGTTCACACAATAATGAATGACCCATCACATCCATTACATCATTTCTTTGGATTCAATCGCTCAGGTATTCGCCTACGCGTACCGAGGAGCAACCGCTGTCGTTACAGACAATCCTTTGTACCGAATGTCATTCATATATTATGTTCAATGCTAATGTCAAGCGATGACCCTTTTGAAAGTCTCTTGCAAGCCAGTTAGCCAGTTATATATTTATATTTTCCTTGTAACTCTAACACCTGCCAATTGACCCCGCAATTGACCCACCGTTCAATCTTGCCTCTGCTCTGTTTTTACGCATAATTAGTACCATAAAGCCGGTTTTTTAAAATGTGCAACATAATGGACCAGTTTCGCAGTGGGTTCGGGTTGGGTGCGTGGGTCTTTGTCGGGGTGCCTGGATGCGGGTGGCTCCATTCACCGTTGGGAGTGGTTGTGTTTTGGTGGGCGGGTGTGAGTTGCGTACGTTGGTTGTTGCTAGGTTGGGCGAGCTCTAATGTATTGCCAGCCTGGTAGCGTCTTTCGTGTGCGGCTCGCATTCTGCCTTTTGGAATACGATTGTTCCTGGCGGGTGGGAGGAGTCATTCGTGTCCGCGCACATCGCGGGGACCTGCGCATTCAACGTGGATACACTGCGAAACTGGTCTATTACCTCTCAGATAGACAGTTACATGTGTCGTGTATAACTCGTCCCCCTTCCTTTCCTTTTCTTTCCCCTCCCTCTATTTATACCCTCTTCTCTCCTTACGTCCACCTTTCGTTCCTATCTTTCTCTCTCTCTCCCTCTATCTCTCTATCTCTCTATCTCTCCCCTCCCTCTGTCTCTTTCCCCCTCTCCCCTCTCTCTCTTATTACTATTTTGCTCCTCAGTCTCCTTACGACTTTTTCCTCACTTCTCAATCTTTGAATGTCGACTTCTTTCTTAAGTTTTCCCTATTACTATGTAATTTATACTTATGCTTTTTGTTAATGTCATGATCTCGTGTGAATTTATGTACATTATGTGACATATCAATTATTTTGTAACTACTTTGTATTATGTTTATGTGCTGCCAGTGGAGGCCAATTTTCTATGTTTTTGAATATGGACCAATA